TGCTGTGCTATTTGTCCTGAGTGCATGTGAACTAGGCAGTGTCAGGGCAAGCTGCACTGCCACCTAGTCCCACCCCACCAATAGGACTCATTCCTAACATGATTGGAGGGAAGACAAGGAATAATTTTGCCAGGATGTGTGCATGGAAGGGACATTCTCTATTAATTTCTTCTCTCCACATACCAGCCTGAGAGAGGCATTAGCCCCTTCCCACAGCACTGTCCTCCTCTGCCCAGACCCATGATGTGTGTTCTATGGGGCCAGAGATCAATATGGGGGTGGGGACAAGCTGCACTCCATAAAGGAGCCCCCTATAACAAGCACTGTTTCAATGGTTCAATCTAGTTGTAGAACACAAAGTCTTGTTCCTGTTCTTATTTGGGATGGGCTGTTACTAGTAATTCTGGGTAGTGCCTATGCCCATAGGACCTTAGGTGCATTATTCATTCAAGATAATATGTCTAAGGAAAAGACGGAAGCAACTCTCAAACCATGAACCACACCTGAATGCACCAGTGGCCACCTATCCTTACTTGAAAGGAATAGGAATAAACATCAATACCAGATGAAGTTTCTCTCTCCATTGGTGTGGGACACAGAGCAGAGAAAGGAAGTAACTGAAGGGCAAGAGCTGCAACTTAGGGCACGTCTTCACTACCCACCGATCCGGCGGGTAGCAATTGGTCTATCGGGGATCGACTTACCACGTCTAGTGAAGACGCGATAAAATTGATCCCTGATGGCTCTACCGTCGACTCCGGAAATCCACCGCGGCAAGAGGCGGTAGCGGAGTCGACGGCAGAGCGGCAGCGGTCGACTTGCCGCCGTCCTCACAGCCAGGTAAGTTGACCTAAAATACGCCACTTCAGCTACGCTATTCACGTAGCTGAAATTGCGTATCTTAGGTCGACCCCCCGCTGTAGTGTAGACCTAGCCTTAGAGAGAAGTTAGAACTGTTTCCACAGCACTGATTTTGATAAGTTTCAGGTCACATGAACTATAGCTAAAACCTAAATGCTTTCGAAGGTTTGATCATTTTAAAAACGATTAATTCGTTGGAGAATTGATTTGGGTTATATCCCATGCAATGAATGGCCAACATGGCAATTTTATATATTAGCAAACAAAAATGACATTTAGTGATCGTTTATATTGAGTAAGGACACACCCAAATTTGAAAATCTGGAAATGAGAAATTCAGGGGGAAAGACTTGTGTATTTATTTCCATCTTCATATTGCCTATATACTGTCAATACCTAGGACCTTACCCAATTCACAGTCCATTTTCATAAATTTCATGGCCATAGTATTTTAAAAATCTTTCAGAGTAGCAGTCGTGTTAGTCTGTATCCGTAAAAAGAACAGGAGTACTTGTGGCACCTTAGAGACTAACAAATTTATTTGAGCATAAGCTTTCGTCCGATGAAGTGGGCTGCAGCCCACGAAAGCTTATGCTCAAATAAATTTGTTAGTCTCTAAGGTGCCACAAGTACTCCTGTTCTTTTTAAAAATCTTAAATTTCATGAAGTTGTAACAAAGCATGAATATTTATTGAACAATGGCAAAAGACAAACATGTAAAACTCTTCAGTCAGAATTGCCCAGCACAGCCTTCAGAGCTGGATTCCTGGCCTGCAGCCGCTGCTCTCTGGCCACCCTGATCTGAATGCAGTGCCAACCAATTGTTGGGTGCTTAGACCCACCGGCAGCTCCCCGCCCTGCCCCCCCTGTCCCAGCTCAGCTCACCTCTGCCTCTGCTCTGCCTCCATTTATTCCCCTGGGCACACCGTGTGCCCGTTTTTTCCCCCAGCTCCCAGGGCTTGCGCTTTGAAACAGCTGATTCGCACGGCAAGCGCTAGGAGGGAGGGGGGAACGTGGTGCGCTCGGGGAAGGGGGGGGGCGGGGTGGGGATTTGGGGAAGGGGTCCAAAAGGGGTAAGGAGGGGGCAAAGTTGGGGCGGGGACTTTAGGGAAGGGGTTGGAATGGGGGCAGGGGCAGGGAAAGAGTGGGGGTGGGGCCAGGGGTGGGGGGGGCGCAAGCACCCACTGGTGCCGGGGAAAGTTGGCGCCTATAGTGCCACCAAAAGCAGCAGCACAGAAGTAAGGGTGGCAATACCTTACTATGCCACCCTTACTTCTGTCACTGTCCTGCTGCTGGCACCAGCACTGCATTCAGACCTGGGCACCTAGCCAGCAGCTGCTGCTCTCTGGCCAGCTCTGAAGGCAGCACAGAAGTAAGGGTGGCAATACTGCGACCACTTTACAATATGGGTCAGGACCCCCAGTTTGAGAAATGCTGTGTACTTGTATATATTTTCACCCTACAGTATAAAGGAGTATAGTATAGGGTAAAAGTACACAAAAGACCAGTGGAGACCAGGTTTCATAGTCCGTGACCAAACATGCCAAACCTGCGGGAAAAAATGCAGAAATTGGGCTTGTTTTTGGCTTAATTGGCTTGTGAGTTCCTTGTTGGCAAGTTTTTGGCTTGTAGCTTGTTGCTTGTTTGGCTTGTAACTTGTTGCTTCCTTTTTTTTAATCGGCTCCTGGAAAGCAGGGGGAAGGAGGGGCAAGCAGGGGAAGGGGGGAGAGAGTCATGGGTGCACAGCAGGTCCACCACAGTCCCAGACTGCATGCCAGGATGATCTAGTCACATAGAAAGTTGGGGTTCTTAGGGACTGGCTTGTTTTGGCCATGTTTTGAAATGGGATTAGCTTGATTTTTGGCTTATTGTGAAAGTCGGGGTGCTTATTTACTGCATGAAAGTTGGCAACGGTGTGCAGGACCGGCTCCAGGGTTTTTGCCGCCCCAAGCAGCGGGGGGAAAAAAGCAAGCCGCGATCGCAATTGCGATCGGCGGCACTCCCGCAACAGCTCCACCGCACCACTTTCTTCTTCGGCGGTAATTCGGTGGCAGGTGCTTCCCTCCGAGAGGGACCCGCCTCCGAACTGCTGCCAAACAGCCCGACGTGCCGCCCCTTCCCCTTGGCCGCCCCAAGCACCTGCTTGCTGGGCTGATGCCTGGAGCCGGCCCTGACTGTGTGACCATGACGCATTTTTCACGGCCGTGAATTTGATAGGGCCCTATCAATAACATACTCTAACACTCCATAAGGCTGTTACTTCCATCATAAAAAGTGACCCAAAAGCAATACGCATCTCAGCTTAATCAAAATTGCACTCTAACAAACGTTTAACAGTGTCTTTATATCAACAGATCATGACATCTGACTGTTGCACATTCCAAGCACTTAGAAATGTATTTTGCTTTAACACTGCTGAGGTCACTGCATTATATTTGTGAATAGATAGTATTAAAAAACTGGGAAAGTACAAGTGTAGGCACTTCTGATTCACTTTTTTAATCAATACAGCTATCTTCAAGCATCCTTAGTAAAACTGCATTGGATAAGTACAGTTTTCATACTTTCAACAGTTAATTGAAATGTGAAAGAGCTGCTCTTAGAAATTCTAAAATATAAAACTGCTTTTACTAAACATGCAAATGTGTTCTTTTAAACACAAATTCTGCAGGAATACAGATTTTAAAAATAGTTTGTAGTTTCTTTACTGACTTTATCGAAGTAGTTACTCTGTTTCAAATTCCTCATAGACATCTACTCAGAAGCTATTCATTTGAAACTTTGGTGTTTGACGTGAACTGTTTCACTAACTTATTTTCTAAAAGACTTAAAAATTCTGCTACTTTTATAGATGCTGCCAAGTTATACAATATTTCTGTGGCTCATCCACAAGGTTAGCTATACTTATTTAGCAGCAAGACTAGAAATATTTCTTTAGGTTGATCTCTTGCAGGCTACAAAGAAACATGTTGCTTTTCTACCTAAGATTTCAACTCAAACAAAATATGATTTCTGGGGTTTTGGAAACAGACCATCAGAAGGCTTCTATGGTTCACATGCTGAGAGCCTAATCTGGATTTCAGAGCAAAATGTTTTTCCACATTGTTTCAATGGACTGCTGACTCACCACTTTAGCAACAAACCTATCATCCAATTAACAGGGACCAAAATATAAGAGCTCCTCCCAATCCTTCTATATGAAAGGTAGCCAAGATTGGTGAGTTTATACTGGGGTAACTGAGCATGCTCAGAGAGAAAACACATGCATGAAGGAAAATGCTGTGGAAAGGCTGACTAGCTAGATGAGGAGCTGTCATTCACAATTAAAGGGATGCAGAGAGAGCTTTGGCTGAATTTATCTCCACACTGAAGTCACTGTAGTTACCCCAGGGTGAATTTGGCTCAGTGATTCTCTTTATTATATCCACTTTCGCTTAGCCAAAGAAGCTTTTCAAGGCTGTCTCTTCTGATGATTGCAACAACCCACTGTGTTTACTTGCAGCAGTGCACTAACTGACTAGGAGACTAAGTTTATTGCTTTTCAGTTTCATTGACTGTCCCATACTATGGAAAATAGTGAATAGCAGTGTTTGCTATCCCTTCGCTGTACATCCATTCTGTATACCATTATCATGTCCTCTTTTATGTGCTTCTCTAAGATAAACAGTCCCAGTCTTTTCAGTCTCTCTGTATATGGAAATTTGTCCATGCCAGTCTCTTCACTTGACATTCTGAACCACTTCGATTTCTGCTATAATCTTTTTGAGAACTTTAAAAAACTGATTCAATAGAAATAATTTCTCATAATGTATAATTAACCATGGTACTTGCTGCCTCATGACTGAGGCCAAGAGCTAAGAAAGATTTAAAACCAAAACAAAAACTGAACAGGCATTTATATGGACAGATATACTGAAACAAAATTGGGGGGTTATTTTTAGAAGGGGCATAAATCCTCACAAACTAGTCAATTCTGTAGGTACAGATTGGTTCTGTAGGTACAGCCCTAAGCAGGGGACTGAGTAACAAAACAAATGCTGCACTCCACAAAGCTAAGTTTGAAAGTGCCAAGAGATTGCTGAACTATCACTGCTGTGGCCAATATGTGGTTTTCTAAAATGTTCTTATTTTCATCCTAGTAAAACCCCTGTGGAATATCAAATCTGACTATACCAATTGCTAACATGTGATTGATGGATGGGCGATCTGTTCTTGCAAACCAGGATACCAGGTGGCAGCTGTTGAGAATGGTGGGGACACTTGTGTGGACACAGGTAAAAGCATTAGCTATAGTATGCCAATATTTTTAACTCATTTACAGAAATGACAGCAGAGATGCAAAATTCTCATTAGGTTATGTTGTCCATCCTCCTGCCAGTACAGACACGTTCTCTTTAACATAGTCGTTAGTACTTTGACTGTTTTGTTTTAAAAGATACTCAGTGGGGCTTCCACCACTTCCCTTGGGAGACTTTCACAACCAAAAAACTATACTGCAAGGAGTATTTTCCAGAGAGCCTACATTTTTCCTGCTTGGTTTCATCTCATTACTCCTAGTTGATAAACACCTCTTATAAATATGCTCTCTCTCCGCTACCCCACCCATTAGCACAATTTAAAGATGCTATATAACATATTCCTTGGAGATACTTCTAAAGCCATTCAAGAACTCACCTCTCTCCTTGTAGTGCATAGCGGGACTATTTAATTATTTACCCTGTGCTCCTGGTAAAACATTTTTAAAGGGAGGGGAGAGACATCAGTTTTTAAAAAAATAATCCTACTTTTTTTTTTAATAAAGTGAAGTTTATCAAGTCACAATACAGCAGAGAATTAGGTCTGAACAAGATGCTTTGGGCCAACATTTTGAAAAGTACTTTAAATTTGCAACTACCCTACAATTATAGTATCTTTTAGTTGAAAGAAAGGTGTTTACACAATTAGAAGCATATGCAGTACAACAGAATATTAATTATCCTTCAATAATTGTTTTATACTAATTCTTTATTTCAACAAATGAATGCAATGAGTCTGTTCGCAAGAATAAGGTGACCAGGAGTTGGCTCCATATCAGTATGAAGTTATATATTTTATGGTTCCTCAAGAGTGCAGTAAACAGAGCACGACATGTAGGGATTAGTTCAAATTGATATGAATGCACCACCTCCCTTTAGGAAAGATCCTTCAAAGAAAAATCATGATGTAGTCTGACATTATGAAAACACTGTCAGGAAGCACATTAAGTAATTTACTTTCCAATTAGGAAATATTTATTAGCTACATGCAGAGGCATGTTGAAGCTCACACTCCTTTCTGAGGTAGCTTAAATGACGACATCTCAAGATAATCTCATTTGCAGCTTCCATTAATCTTTAGCAATACCTTTCCAGTTATTCAATTAACCCAAGCTGTTGAATTTATTTAGTTTTGCTTTCTCCAGAGGAGCATACAGATATCTGAAACAGTTGGATCAGCATTAAATAAAAAGGAACAAAATCAGTATTTTTCACATTCCCTTTAGAATGACAATACAAATATCAGGCTTAGAGACAGTCAATATACTAAAATTATGAAAGCATAACTCATTTACATTCCACTTACTTCCCATTAGGTGAGAAATTAACCTGACCTACTGGTAATAGAGTTGAGCAGAAGGACAAGAAATGAATGAAAGAGACTGAGTTAGCTTTTAGCTATTTGGAAATTCCCAAATGTTAGCAGTCTCTTAAGTATGTGCCTTTGTCTTATAGCTGCAGACATGTCACTACTATAAAGCTATTTGAGATGAGATAAAGCATTTTGTTGTGTCCATTTGCAGTGCCAAGCAGTAGCAATATTTATGAATCTCACCATGTGAAAACTGTTTTACGGTACAATACAAATAGTAATCTGTGGTCATCAGAACCCTTTTTATATACACACACAGACACACTTGCAAAACCAAAATTAAATTCCAGAAGAGTAAAGGAATTAAAAAAAAAAAAAAAAAAAAAAAAAAAAAGGGAATAAAAAAAAAAAAAAAAAAAACGAGAATGTGTGGTTGTCATGGGATAATCACCGCCACGGAGGATGAGAGGCGCAGGATTATGCCTGATGCTATGTAATGCCCTACGGTTATGATTATCTGATAGAAACCACACCCCATTTTGCACATTAGTGCTTACTTAGAAATCTATGAGTATAAATACAGCAAGGTGAGGGGAAGGAAAGTGCTGTGGTTTCTGGAGTACTCTGTAATCACAAAGAGATCAATAGATTTGTGTGATACCTTTAATCTTGTGACAGTTAGAAATTGAAATAAGATTGACCTAGTGTCATTTTCATCCATAATCATGGATTACAACCACCAATAACTAGTTAAATACTTGGTTATAGTTAGAAAAGCCACTCTATAAAACATTATGAAGGAATTCTATATTTAGGTCCTGATCCAACAGAGCAAATTTTACATACTTTGTGCAGTAGGTTAAATGGTTTTAGTTAAACCAGCACAAAACCCTCAGCGGACACTCTCATTTCAGTTTGAAAGGTTTATTTCAAAGTTTCACTTAAACCATTTCCTAATGTGAAGCTAAACCAAAATAAGTCTAGTTTTTAACTAAAATAAGTGTCTACACAGCCTTTTGCACCAGTTTAACTAACTTGATTTTATCAAAAAGTAATCACACTAAGTGTGCTCATCTACCCACAAACCGGAACTGAAATAACTAAATTGATTTCATTTCACACCTTCAGTTATTTTTGGGCAAATCATTGTGTGAAGCTCTTTTATTTCAGAATATGCTTCTCCTAGTTCAATTGGTTAATAAACAAAACAGTGCAACTCCATGTAGACAGGTATGATGTAATTTTTACATCACCTCCCCCCCCCCCAATGTTTGAAAACATTTATCTTTGCTCTTGATGTTCAGTTTCACACCACAAATTGGAACTATTGTTCTAAATCAGTTTGTTTTAGATGCCTCCAAAAGTCAGCATGAGTAAATTTACAGATTTTAAGACGAGGAGGGATCATTGTGGTTTTCTAGTCTGATCTCCTGCATAACACTTGCCTTAAATTCACCCAGTATTTTGGTCAAGCATTCAATAGCATTCCACCAATTCTAGGATAGAATTTTCAGCAGGGCCTAAGAGTGTTAAACACCAACCCTCATTGGCTTTCATTGGATGCTGGGCACCTAATTCCCTTAGCCTTTGAAAATCCTAGTCTTCACTTTCACTTTGCACTCAAACATTAGGGTGGATCTAAATCTTTGAGCTTAATCTTTCAGAGAAAGATTTAAAATATCCTGGTCAGAAAGTTACAGCAATTCTAGGGTTTTTGGTTTGGTTTGGTTTTGTTTTTTTCTCTCTCGCATGCGCTCGAAAAGTAAACAACTCGTTTTTCTCAGGTTGGAGAGGAAAGGAAGAGATCCCAAACACTGGCATACCATCTTTCAGCCTTGTCTCCTCATATCGTGTCAAATAAAAAATAAGTGTTAGCCCTCACATTTTGGTTGATTGATGAAACACTATCTAGAGCTATAGTAAAGTTACTGCAAGGGTTGTGACCGGATGAGTATGTCAGTGCCACATACTGTGACTTTTAACTCTTTCACATGTCAAAATCTTTATACTTTGGCCAACATCTACAGCTACCAGGGAATGTACCATGAAAGCAATAGTAACTTGCACCTCTCCTTAGATGAAAGGTGCAATAAAAGTGCCAAGAATGAGTATTGTTCTGACATCCCATTAATAATTATACATACTAGGAATGTAAACAGAGAAACATTCTGAGATGTTATAAAAAACAGAATAAATGAACATACATATCTGGCACTTAAACTCTTCTCTTGTGGATAATAATTTTGCCAGAATAGTTTGTTTTTATTTAATTATTTATCACTGCATAATTATAGGCATATATACATTATACACTCAGTGTTTGCAGGGGAAATATATAATGTTAAAAGAACTCTGAAGTTGCAAACCTCAGCACTCAAACAAGAAAATGCCAAAGTTCTGCACTCTTAACTCAGCCCTTTTGTGCATATGTATTACATTACACTCTTCAATTAAGCATAACATGCTGTTTTTTCTTTATTCAGTGCTTACAGTGGTCTGCTCCCTGTCCCTTACTGCTTAAAGGATTTATTGTTTCACAGCTTCTGGTGCACTGAGAGCAGGGGATGAGGGGATGAAACAACAGAGTAGTGGTAGCTGCAAACATTATGTTTCTATAGGACCCAAGGCAGGTATAATGCTATGTGGGTGCACAGCTGCTACACATTTAAAAGAGGTGCATAATGCACACCACCCAGTACTAGTCACATGGGACAAGCCAATAAAGAGCAAAACCAGGACCTGGCTGCAATAGATATGCCCTGAGACATGAGTTTCTGCCAGTAGTGCTATTTGGCCTCCCTATGCATGCAGGGAATGCAAGTAGCTGTATTATACCTACCTTGAGTGCACCTTGGATGAGGCAGTAGCTACTTTGCCCCCTTCCTCTTAATGTGTGTGAGCAAAAGGAGCCATTATTTGGACTGTGTCTTTGGAACTATAGCTTTGGCTTACTATATGTTCTCTGCTTATTAGATAACTGCAGAACCCGGAACAGTATGTACACTATGAAAAACATTTGTATATTATGCTGAATACCCTATGTATATATAAATAAAGACTACCAAAGATTAACCAAAGTACAGTATCTTTCTACGCTTAACTACTCTTCTTTTTCCATTTACATTCTAGAAACTATACGAGATGGCAGTTTCTGCATCCTCAGGCCCTGCTCAGAGGGATACGAATGCCGAGATATGGAACACTATCAGTTTGATTGCATCAGAGGAGCCCTTATTGTGCGAAACTGAGTAATTCAGAATTACACTTTTTTTAATCCTTTCTTGCTCTATTCACTTTCTCATCCTTGATAAAAGAAGTAATAAGTCTAGATGTGGATAGTCTTGGAGTAAACTGCTTACTGTATTGCTTTGAAAAGCTCCTGTCTCTTGAGAATACACTAGATTTCTGCCACAGCCTATAAAACTTACAAGCCATTATATATTTTATTAGACACCTCTTCATTTTAAGCTGAGGAAAGTAAAAAATAAGGAGTCTGACTTAGCCTAATAGAGAAAATAGATTGCAATGTGTATTTAGATCAATAGTAGGGTGGGTTGATGGAACCTTTATGTCCATTACAACACAAGTGTCTATTTGCATTCTTTCAGATGCAGTTTTCCATTGTTCCAAACTGGATTCTGCATATTCACAGTACGTTCTTGTAAAATTACTATTAAAAATTGGAGCTGACTGTAAAACCTTGATTGGAAAAAAGATGAAAATTCTCACAAGTTTTCCCCCAACCCCATTTTCTTATTAGTTCTATTAAATGTGTATTCTGTGCAAACATATAACTGGCATGTTACAAACATGAGTTGTCATCCTTCCCTTGTGAGTAAAGTTACACGCATGCTTAAGTATTTGTGGAATCAGGACCACAGAGTATAATCCTATACATCATGTCAATCTGATTCACATGACTTACACAACTTAGACTCATAAGAACAGGCCTCGTGGAGCAAAATCCTGCAGCTTTCCCATTTACTTCAGTAGGAATTTTGCCCGAGTAAGATGCCAGAATTTTGTCTCTCCGAACAAGTCTGCATTCTTTACTCAGAGAGCTTACGGAAAGAGAGGATAGATTGCCTGTCACACTGTAAATCAGGAATAATTCAATTGAACTCAATACCAGTGAGAGCGAGATCAGAAAACTGACACCTGACAATGACAAATTTACCATGCAGAGTTATGTTTGGGGGCCTGATTGTGTAGTTCTTACTCAAGCATGGCTACTGCTTGAATGGCAGTCTTGCCTGAGTGAAAATGGTAGAATCAGTCCTATGATATTTGTATATATTGTACTGTCTTTTCATCATAGCATAACTATTATAAAAAAAATTCAATAAGCTTATAAGAAGCAAATATTAACTGTGACACACAACAAACAACAAATTTGTTTTTACTAATTTTGGGCCAATTCCTGCAATCCTTTACTTATTACTCAGGCAGCACCCACTGACATCTATAGGAGGTTTTCTGATAAGAATTGAGTAGGGACTCCAAGGTTGGTCCCTACATATCCATCTCTAAAGATTAAATAATGTATAGTAATAGAGTGGTACAAACATTTTAAAGTATTCGGACTAAACCAATGTACCTTAATATTGATCTGGAGGAGACTCAAATGATGGCAACAGGATATCTTGCTTTCTATATCTTTTTGTTCAGCCTTTTGGCCTCTCTGTGGAGATTTCAAATAAGATGGCCAGTGAGCGCCAGTTTTGGCAGTAGTTGTGATGTGGCTACTTACTTATTGGGAACTGAACTGAGAATTCCAAATTCATTTCATATCAACAATACTATTAAAGTTGAAAGTTACGTACACTGATTATATTCCACTGAAAAGTGCCATATCTATATTGTCCATATTTCATGATTTCCCTCTGCAATGAGACTATTAAAATATAAGAGCATTGGCCTACTAAACCTAGGGTTGTGAGTTCAATCCTTGAGGGGCCACTTAGGGATCTGGGGTAAAAATCAGTACTTGGTCCTGCTAGTGAAGGCAGAGGGCTGGACTTGATGACCTTTCAGGGTCTCTTCCAGTTCTAGGAGATAGGATAGGATAAGGAGACAATATCAGAGGTAAAGAATTTCAGCTAAACAGCTGAATATTGAAAGTTATTCCACAGTCAGTATGATGTTGCACTCCATATGCTTTATGATATAACTGAAATATGCTTTATGCAAAAGGTCTCTTGTAAGGTATTACAAATCTTATAATCTACTGAGTGTGTTCATCCTATTTGTATGCATGTATCATTCTGGTATCTGAAGCTAGAAATATGAAGTATAACTCTGAGGTCCTATTGTAGTTATGCAAAGTGTGAGCCATTAATGGTGGTTTAGAATCCTGACAGCTCCCATTGACTAGAACAATTGGTTGTAAATGGTTTATTTACCTACAAGCCTTCCTGTGTTCCAGCCCATGGGTAATGAAGAATGAGGTCTCACAGGGACATGTGACCATGTTACCTGAGACTAGAATCTTTCTTTTATCTGGTACTTTTCCATTTAGAAGGAGGGGTGGGGACCCAGCGAGACAAAAGATTTCCACCTTGTGCCAAAGCTATAAAAGGGGGTAGAGCAGGACAAAGAGGGCTGCCAGTCATGCTTTCTACCTAAGATGTCTGCTGGAACTAACAAGGACTGTAATAGGGGAAAGGACTGGGCCCAGACTAGGAAGGAGTCTAGTCTGTGAAAGAAGCTTATTGGAACATCTCTGAGGGCGAGATATTACCTATAATCAGTTTCTTAATGTATTAGGCTTAGACTTGCATGTTTTCGCTTTATTTTGCTTGGTAACTTACTTTGTTCTGTCTGTTATTACTTGGAACCACTTAAATCCCACTTTTTATACTCTAATAAAATCACCTTTGTTTATTAGTAAATCCAGAGTAAGTGATTAATACCTGGGGGAGCAAACAGCTGTGTATATCTCTCTATCAGTGTTATAGAGGGCAGACAATTTATGAGTTTACCCTGTATAAGCTTTATTCAGAGTAAAATGGATTTATTTGGGGTTTGGGTCCTGGAGTCAGGTAACCTGCAGAGCTGTTTTCACTTAAAGCCTGCAGCTTTGGGGACGTGGCCTGGACGCTGGGTCTGTGCTGCAGCAGGCTAGCATGTCTGGCTCAACAAGGCAGGGTTCTGAAAGTCCCAAGCTGGCAGGGAAAACAGGCTCAGAGGTAATTTCAGCACGTCAGGTGACAGTCTCAAGGGGGTCTCTGTGACAGAGTCAGCTCTTGGAAAAGAAAACTATTCATCAGAATAAAAAGATCAAAAAAAGTCTTAAGATGGAAATTATTAGACTGTCCCCAAAACCACTTAATTAGCTGAATGTCCACTGAGCTCTGATGCTGAATATAACATCCAAATGAATAACAGTTCAGCAAAATCTTAGTTTTGAATACATAATTTCACTAAAAAATGTTTCGACTCATTGGTTTATGATACGAATTTAAGAACAAAGGCAAATCCGCAAACAGCTAAGTAATGTATTTTCCCCACACTACAGTACTATACTACCCCAGAAAATAACTTTTAATTAGCCAGTTCCACAACCTCTGTCCTTCTACATGTTAAATAGACAAGATTCACTGGAAATTGAACTCCTCTAGGGCCAGATTTTCCCATCTGACTGATCTATGCTTAGCTCAGAACTGCAATGGGGAGCCTGCAAAGATGGTTTTAGGCTAATGTTGCAGCTCCCCTTTCATCATCTAGCTCAGAGTAAATGCTGTCCTAAGGACAAGGTCTGTGTATGGCGGGAGGGGAGGTGGCAGAAATCTTGACCAGATACACCCAGAATAATAGAAGATTTAGACCAAACCTCCCTGGAGCTAGAGAAAAGCCACACCTGCCCAGAGGAGAGGAGGTAGACTAACTGGATAACTGAATTTCTGGGAAAGCCAGGAGCGGTCTGTTCACAAGCCAGCCCAGGCAATCCCATCTGACACTCCCTTTTGGAGGAGAAGGCGGAATAGGTTATAAAGTTTTTATTTTTGTGGTTCTGTAGGTTTCTGTGTGTATTAAAAGGGTTTCATCTAGATCAAGAGTATTCTAGTTAAAACATTCTTCTGACGTGTTTTGTCAGTTTTACTTACAATCAGGGTGTACTGTTGTCATAACTATAAAGGGAAGGGTAACAGCTCTCCTGTGTACAGTACTATAAAATCCCTCCTGGCCAGAGACTCCAAAATCCTTTTACCTGTAAAGGGTTAAGAAGCTCGGGTAACCTGGCTGACACCTGACCAAAAGGACCAATAAGGGGACAAGATACTTTCAAATCTTGGGGGGGGAAAGGCTTTTGTTTGGGCTCTTTGTTTTAAGGGGTTGTTCGCTCTTGGGACTGAGAGGGACCAGACATCAATCCAGGTTCTCCCCATCTTTCTAAACAAGTCTCTCATATTTCAAACTTGTAAGTAAAAAGCCAGGCAAGGCGTCTTAATTTTACTTTGTTTTCTCAACTTGTAAATGTACCTTTTACTAGCGTGTTTATCTTTGTTTGCTGTACTTTGAACCTAAGACAGAGGGGGGTCCTCTGAGCTCTTTAAGTTTGATTACCCTGTAAAGTTATTTTCCATACTGATTTTACAGAGATGATTTTTACCTTTTTCTTTAATTAAAAGCCTTCTTTTTAAGAACCTGATTGATTTCTCCTTGTTTTAAGATCCAAGGGGGTTTGGATCTGTATTCACCAGGGAATTGGTGAAAGGTTTCTCAAAGCTTCCCAGGGAAGGGAATTAGCTTTGGGAATGGTGACAGCGGACCAGGACTAAGCTGGTAGTTAAGCTTAGAAGTCCTCATGCAGGCCCCCACACTTGTACCCTAAAGTTCAAGGTGGGGATACAGCCTTGACAACTGTATTCCAAAGTGTCTTCAGGATAAAGTTATTATACAAATAGTACAGAAGTGTTCCTTGCAATCATTTAAGATGTTAATGGAATGTTGTTAAAACAAATCAAGTTGATAATATAAGATTCCTAACGCAAAGACGATTGGTGTAAACATACCCCTTGTCTAATTCCAGTAACAGCATCCAGCCACGCCCCCAGCTCTGTATCTGATCTTACTGTGCATCTACTTCCATCGTGTAAACTCCCTATTATGTTGATCAACTTGGCTGGTATAACATACAGTCAAGCCATTTTCCACAGGGTCTCTCTGTGGACACAGTCAAACACTTTCTTAACCCATCTTAATCTACTTTATCAACTTTTTTGACAAACAGTAGCTTTTTGATGACCTGTTGAAGAGTGAACATCTGTTCACAACATGATCTAACTGGACAGAACCCAGCCTGTTCTTCTGATACTATTTCATCCACTACCTTCATTCTGATCAGCAAGATGGCAGTCAAAATGCTGCATGGGTCTGACAGCCATGCAATAGCTCTCCGGTTTGCCCACTGAGTACAATCATGTTTTTTTGGCAATACCATGATGATACCATCTTTCCAGTCTTATGTCACTTGTTTTTCACCCATGTTTTAGTTGGGTTTTCTACACAAGCAGAATTTTGCCTCCCACCTTTAGTACATGTGCTTGAATTCTGTCAACCATAGGAGCTTTTCCCTGTCTGAGGCCTCTGCTGGCTTCTTTAACTTGATTGGTATATGTTATCACCAATCTTCTTTGCATTAGCAATAGATTGGGTGAGGAAGTGGTCAACAAAAGACATCATGGATAGTGTAAAATGGGTTAGTGGAGATGAGTTACATGACCTTGCCTTTGCTTTACTAAGTATGATGTGGAAAGGAATGATTGCCCTCACATCAGAGATAGACAAGAAGCAGCAAAAATTGGATTGAAGGTAAATGCAGAGAAAACCAAGATTAGGAAAGTGGACGACAGATGCAAAGGTGCACATCGACTAAAAAGAAATCAAACCAGTAGAAGAGTTCTGCTATATGGTGAGTGTGATGACATTTGAAGGTGGCTGTGATGAAGATATTCATAGAAGATTAGGAAAAACAAATTTTTGGAAGGATGAATAACCTCTGGTCAAACAAAGGTCTCCACATCAAAGTAGAGGTCAGATTATACTTTGCCAACTGTACTGAGCACACCACTATATGGAGCAGGGACTTGGCCAATGACAAGGGCTAACAAAAAGAGAGATTGGAAGCTGCCCATTACAGATAGCTGAGGAAGGTACTACGCATTTAATGGAAAGACAAAACAGGAGAGAGTAAGGAAGCTGACAGAGCAGTACATATTAGAAAATATCATCAAAGAAAGAAATCTCAGGTGGTTGATGACCTGTTGAAGAGTGAACATCTGTTCACAACATGATCTAACTGGACAGAACATATGGAAGATGGGAGACATTGAATTGGTACCTGAGGGAGGAAAGAGAAAGCTAGGAAGGCCAAAGAAGAACTAGCAGAAAACAGTGGCAGAGGATATTGAATGTGCAGGTATCACCTCAGAAGAAGTATCACAACTAGCTAGTGACCTAATCAAAGGAGGAACTGGACTGCCCAAATTATCAGCAGCACAGGAGGAACTGTAAGGTCTAAAGTAAGGAATGTGAGATTCCACAGTTAGATTATAATAGTAGATTACTTGTGTGAACATGTCATGGCCAA